TAGATATGTTGTTATTTCTGGTAATCCTTAATGGACTTTTGCTGACCAGGACTGTTTTAAGAATCTGTTTAAAGATAAGAGATGAGATATGGGATTAAGAAATCGTTTGTTATATTTTAAGAGAAGGTGATAAGTTCATAAAATGGTTTATACTTGTTGTGACAAAGGTGGAAGTCACTTCTTTATATGCTCTTTTTCTTTGCCATATTTTTTTCTTTTCTATTAATCTTTCTATATTATTTTTTTCTTTTTTTCTGGACTTTCTATTTTTTCTTTTTATTCTTTTGTTTTTTGTAGTTTATATTAGCTTTTTATCTATTTAACTGTAACACTCAATAAAATTATTATTAAAAAAAACCCCTTTCTTGACATTTCCATGGATATAATTTTTCTTAAGTTATTATGTATGGAAAAACATTCAGTCACGCAGGGGATAATATTTGCCTCTATTTCTGAGATTGATACTTTGATCTCCACTAAGAATCTCTTAGCTTCATCCAAGGGAAAGTTTTGCTGAACTCCAGAGCTTTTAAAAAGCGTCTGTGTAAAACCCAAAGCAGTAAAACTTTGAAATGTGCTTTCATGAGACTGAACCTGAAAGCTGCACCTAAACTGTAAACATTCAAGCTCATCACTTAAATGTACTAACTTTAAGGACTGGGGTCTGAATGCCTTTGTTTTCTTCTTCTTCCCTTTGTCTTTCTCTCTCTTTTTTTGCATGGAGTTTTAAAGCCTGTGGAAAAGAGGTCTCTCTCTTGCAATTGTTTACAGATAACTATAAACAATTCCAAGAGCTATGAAACTAAAGAGCAGAATAAACTTGCTTTAAAGAAATAAACTCTGCACTAGAAATTCAACTGAAATCTTTAACCTGTATAAATAAGACAAACTGAACAGATTGACAATTTTGCATCATCTATTCTAATTTTACTTGCCAATGGCAGGGACATAAATACGCATTTGAGGTTTCAACAGACCCTGCCCACTTTAAATTACTAATTCTTACAGCTGAGAAGTAAAACTTTCTCCCCATGTAAGCCCTCTAAAAGCACTGTACCCTTGAGAAGCATGTACAAAGATACCTCTACTCAGTTCTGTCGCTTCAGAGAACAGAACGGAAAAACACCCAAGCAAAAGAAAACTAGCAGAAACGATCGGAACATCTTTCAATTCCGAGAAAGACTTACCTAGGTCAATATCAGTGAAGCCTTCTGCATTGATGGCATCAGAGGTATTTTTATCTATGTTTTCCAGACAAAGGCTCGCCAGCTGGGGCTCATCGAAGAGTCTCGCCTAAGAAACAGCCATCAACCAGCAAGAATAAATGGGAGGGTTTCTCGGAGGGGTGTGTTAACTTCAGGACTTTTTACCCTATTCCATTCCCTACTTTGTAGGAGGGTGAAGATGTCATAGCTATACCTGCCCCAAATGCTCCGAATGCACAGAAGGATGGGATAAAAATGTTATACAAATAAACATCTACAAAATTCATATGGTGACCACACTTCATAGTTTATACATTTGGTATTTGGTTACATTAGATCTGAGAGGGTCATGGCATCCAAGCCAGATGAGCTTAAAGACTTCACCACTTTGTCAGCAGTTTGCTAATATTATTTCAGCCATTCATATACCATATGACTGCAAATGTTACCAAGGCCATGTGCAACAAATCAAAGGAAAACATTGCATAAAAATGTAAACATAAACCCCTATTTGAATGTTAAAATCACTGGCCTCAATTTAGAGGAACAAATAAGACATGGAAGTAGATCCCTTCCTAAGCTCCCTTTTAATTCTACCTGAAGCGCATTCCATGGTTTGTGAGCGACCCCAGAAAAAGTTGTTTCACTTGGATATCCACTGTGGCTTCACATATACTCCACTGGTGCTAGCAAGCACCAAAAACATAACTAACTTGGCTGTCCTGTTTTTTTTCTCCTTTTTAACTTTAACCAGAAGCCATGCAAGTCACTAGGCTGTGCTATGGAAGCTCACAAGGATCCACCCCAGCAGTAGATGACAACTGGCAGCTTTGCAGAGAACTGATCAGGGAAGGTGGGCAATTAGTGCCAGCACTTTCCTCAACTCGTGCCAAGAACCTTTAAGAGAAAAGGCTACTCCATAGGCAAAGATTTTCAAATATACCTGGGTTAAAAGCATGAATGCATTATCTGCCCTGAGGTTCTTCTTCAGAAACTCCACACAGTGAGCCTCGAGGGCAGGGACTGCGTATTTCTTTGCAGTGTAAAGAGTCGTCATCACAGTCTCTGGCCCAATCTGAACTTCATCTGAATAAAGAAACCTGAGGGGGGAAGTGGGGGGGTGGGGGAAATGAAAAAATATTCTTGCAATCAAAGCAACATTATTTATTGAAGAAAACGCATCAGAAATGTCTGATCATTAGGTGTGATGCAGAAGATCCTTGCCTAATTGAGAAGTAAATTCCAACTGTGTATCAATTCAACCAGAGTTTATTTTAAACTAGGACCATTCATCTCACCTATAAGTCCATGAAGACTAGAAACATCTTTTTAAAACTGGAACTCTTTAGACAGAGTATGCTACACTGGGCAGCACACGAGCATATGGACTACATATTTTTATTTACTATGGTCCTGTCTTTCCTTTGCAGATCTTAAAACCAAGTCATTCAATGACTTCTGCAGTTGAGATATTTCTACAGGGAATCCACCGAATCTAATCCAACTCTCCAAACATTATTCTGGCAAACCTGAAAACGTGCATCTTTGTTGTAAAAATGTCTATATTTATGTAGTGTCTTTATGGTTTATAACTTTTAATTCAATCTCTATTATATCCTGCCTTTCTGACAGGACACTTAATGTGTTTCATATCCAAATATATCTGTAGCAGTTAATTAAACTGCAATACCAGGCTGATCAATTTTGGGACTGTGACTCATCATCTTCACTGCTACCTCCTAAGGGTTTATAAACTATACATGAGTGCAAACCAGGCTTACAAGACCAGAAGCAGATGTCATCATATTGCCAGGTTTGAAGGTAAAAAGTGTGATACTGAACATGGAAGTAGAAACTAAGTAAAAGGAGAAGCTAAGAAGTAGAAGGGGCATCCCTTAAACATACTGCTTCTGATCTTTTAAGATTCAAGCCCCAACATCCCACGCGTGCATTTTAATCTGATCCAGGATAAGAAAGGGAATGTATGAAAAATCAGAAAGAGAAGCATATGAATACAGGTGGGAAGGAAGGAATCCAGTTAAAAAACTGGAAAGAGCTCTAAAAATACAGGATTGCCATCTAAGACACAACACGTCTTCCTAAAGAACTATAAGCTAGGGCCTTTTTAAAATATATAACATAAAAGCAGTGCATGGAACGCCGCTGCACCAACCCTATTGCAGACAGGTTGCAATTTGGAGGGATCACATTACTTGCATGGAAGCAGGGCTTACTTCAGCAGAGCTAAGAAAGCAGCAGGCTCTACATCAGGTAGTTCTATCTCTGTGGAGGTTGTAGCCATCCCGCCATTGAACATTGCATCAAAGACCGCGCTGCCCACAGCCAGCACAAACCTGACATATGAAAACACAAACAAGAAAAGCCTCGCTTGACTGGATTCCATTCTCGATCTTTCATCTATCTTTATTCTACCATGTTTCACACCCCCCCCAAGTTAAGATTTACATAAATTATACTATAGAGAATGATGCTGAAAATCTGCACACTCACAGATTCCAGTGCACAGGTCATACAGCTTGGAACAAAAGTGGGTCCTTTAACAATTGTAGTTATATTACATAATTTCTATATAACGTAGTTTAAACTGTATCTGAATGTAGAGTCATTGGTGCTCTCTGAGCTTGGTTGTTTGACTGCAAGCGTTTCATTACCTGACTAGGTATCTGAATGTTTTACAACTGTATTAAGGTTTACTCTTGTTAGTCCTTAACACCAAATCCGTGGCCTTTTATCAAAAGCTGTTTTTCTATAGGAAAAAAAATCAAAGCAAGAACAAAAATATAACTTTCAAAGTCAGTTTAAGTATGAGAGGTGAACATATTATTGTCCTAATGATGCAAAAATGAATATTTAGACCAAGCCAACAGCACTGGTTTTAAAACTTTCCATATTCTGGAAAAACATTACTTTGTCATGTAAGTACTAGCCTTTGATTCTGTAAAGTTCTTTGCAATTCATCTTCAAGGAAAATATTCTGTTTAGTATCTTTACATACATAAAAAGAGTTTTAAACAGAAACCTTTCATTTTACAATTGCTCCCCTTACTCTTAGCAGGCATCAGCTCCGTTGTGCAAAAGCGACATGAACTGCATTGTACGCATGGCCAGGATTTTGAATTCCATTCTTAGGTAGTACAAAGGCTCTATTTAGCAGTAGCAAACAGATATGATTTAAGCATTGTAGCAACCCGTTAATGTGTGTACATGTTGAGGAAACACATGATACTGCAAACTTATTGAAATAAATTCACCTTGTTAAAAGACTGCACACAGAAATCATTTCCTAACTATAAGTCAGGAACAACTCTTTATTCAATAGTTCTGTACAGATCAAATAACACAGTCAGACCACAAAAAAGCCCCTCCCTGCAAAAAAGCAGAGAATCAACCTCAAACAACCCAGCGCAGACTGGCACCAACTATTCTGGTGCTTGATCATTGGCTGCAAATGAACAGGGCAGCCACAGCCCAAAGCCCTTGGAATTTTTGTGGGCCAAGTTCTCCCTGAGCTGGAGTTCCCAAGAGAGCCATCCCCTAACTAACATACTGTGAGTAGGGCACACTTAAACTTTGCCCATCGGTGCATTAAGCAAAAATGGTCCATAGCCTCTTCAGTTTAGTTCTGCAGTACTGTACAGAAAGATCAGCAGCCCCACAGTGTATCTGAAGCCTGCATTTGCAGACTTTTATTTGGGAAAGCCAGGGCATTTTCAACTGTGCCTCGCCTGATCTCCGGACAACTACCCTTTCATCCTATTGTGCACAATCCTCACCCACCTTGCCCTGAGCCCAGTTCCACCAACAGCCACAAAATAGAAAATAGGCTTTTCAAAGCCATTTGTCCACATAAACTCTACCTTGCAGCTTCTGGCCCTTCCCATCTTTCCCCACCTCAACCCCAGCCCCCTCTTCGGCCCCACCCATCCTACCTTGGTCACCCCGGTCTCCCCAAGCCCCTTTCTCTTCACCCCAAATCTGCCACCCCTTTCCTTCCTCCAGCATATGGCCAGAGGAGTGGGGGGCTCCTTTTTGCTGAAAGTGCTCAAGCAGGGGCAACTTAGCCATCCCTTGGGGGTGCTTTAACTTGGTTTTCTGCACTGAACAGGAGGGGTGGACTCCATGACCTCAATGACCCCTTCCCATTCTAGGATGCGGTATAAATTCCACCCCAAATGACTGACATCCCCCAATCACCTCCCGGCCTCTACAGATCTCTCCCCTTCCCACATATCACTCCTACTGCTAGCTACCCTATCCATAGCCCCAAGGACAGGACCCCCATCTCCCTCCTCTTTGAGGTGGGGTAGGGCACCACACCCTATTCCTTGCCCCCTTCCAATTCCCAACCACCTCCCCAAGGAAAAAAACCCGACCCCCCTCCTCTTCCACCAAACCCCCAAGACCCCTTCC